AAGAGGGTCAACCAATAAAAAACACAGAATAGCAGATAAAAGTTAAAAAAGTTTAATACATAAACTAGGTACAGTAAATTTGGAAAAACAAAATACATAATGTCGAGGTCCTTATGTTTCGGTCCCGACTACAATATATTTAAGTGTGTCCTCCTATATCAACTTAACACTCCACCCAAATCGGCCAGCATGCAAGATGCACATGTTGAAACTTTGCTGACACCCACAGCTTCAAGGCTGGAAGTGCATTTACTTGTAGTGATGGTGATAATAGAGTATGAATTAATTGCTTTGGTAATTGTAAAAGTAGTAAAGAAACAGAGAGTAGATAATCTACCTTTTATGAAATAGCATCACAGGAAAAAGGTGATATCATGAAGGTTAAAATATAGACTTTTCACTCCATATTTAACGTTTTTATCTAGGTCCCAGATAAGGTTTAATTAAATGTATCCACCACTCTACAGTACACTTACACATGTAATGGTAAAATATGTTATAACATAGTCTTATGCTAAACGAGTGATACGTGTCTGTACTGAAGTTCATCATGTGGAAAGCAGAAAGGTGTGAAGTTTTCATTTGCAGTTGTGTCTGAAGAAACAAAGGAGAGCGAGTCAACTTGCTTTCACACAAAGCCTCGGTAAAGGGAAACTGTTACCCAGTCTTCAACTTTCACTCGAGGTGTCTCACCTGCTTTGTAAGGGTCATAACCTGGCTCAATATGTATTGATGCAAGTTTCATAACTTAGTTTCTTATCTCACCTGGTTCGCAAGTTTTATATCTGCCATCTCCCTATATGGTCTAGTGGTTTAGGATTCGGCGCCGCTGCGGGCCTCCTACAACTGAGGATGACCTTATTATGTGTGTATACAAGCTCGGCGTTTTGACTGCACGGAGACGCCTTCTCCACAGAGCACTGTAATACGTGCGAGTGTATTTGACCTCCTGCTTGCAAGCAATACATTGACTTTTACAACTTTGATCATTCAACAAGACTGTTTTTATCAGATAAACATCGAAACAAATCATCCTCTTCTCTCGAGCTACTTACCAATAAATATTCCACAACAACTATCACACAGAAGAACATCAAATGAATCAGTTCATCAATAAGCTGAAACATGGAGCGAGTCAAGGTCATCAATCAGTAAGGAAAACATCACATCACGGGGAAGAGAAAGACGTGTCCTTTGTTACAACACCTCCCTTAATATTTCAGAGATGGCTATTTGTTGCAGGTTGGACACAGCAGGATACTGGCTCCCAGAAAGGATTTTTATTTTTTTTGCTAAAGGGAAGTGCAAGTCATCATCAAGGGCAAAGACCGGTGGATACCAGGTCTGCTCTGGAGTTGGGCCAGATGGCATGTGACACAACTAGAAAGACACTGCAAAATGGAAGGGCATTTCAGGGACATTTGAAGAATGTTAATATATTCCTGTATTAATATTTGTGCAAAGGCCAGAAACAACAGTTAACCAAATAAGACGTACTGTATTTGTAAAAAAAAAAAAAGGCAAACATGTTGGCCATTGAATCCCCACTTTATCCACACACACATTCATCGTTTTTTATTTGGATACAATCAGACCAAAAATATTTTGAATTTGAGAAATAATCTTGAAAAACAGATAAACGTGCGGTGAACATTATCGTATGTGAGCACCTTGCAGCTGTCTCTTTGCCTTCCACATTTGTAAAGGATCCAAGTTTTCAAAAAAGGCAACAGGGGAAATGTTCTGTAGTATTGACAACAAACCACCACCCGATGGTGGTGTAACACAGCGGACATCGTCAAAGCTGAGGTGCAGTTTGAGGCTTTAAATGGAAGTGGAGTAAATCTCAGCTTTGCAGAATCTTGAATCACCGTCCAAAAGTAACAGTTTAATCTACGGAGGAATGTAGAGAGTTACCTTCTGGCAGTAAATATTACTCTCATGCCACTGTGTATCAGTGATGAACCAAGACTTTACTGCAAAAATAAAGATTTTAGAAATAATAACTGCTCAGTTTCATTTAGATTGTATTTTTCAATATTAATTATTTAGTTGTTGCCATACAACATCCCTGGACATTCTGCACAGCAAGCTTAATATTCCCAAAAGTGCTATGGAGGAAATTGGATGTCCCTGTATCTATTTTGCTTATAAAACATGTTATGTCCATAAAAAAATTAAAATACATATAATTCCCTATTTCACTACAACCCATTCGATTGATTTTGCCTCAGGTAAGAGAAAACTGAAGATATTTGCTGAATCATTTTCCACGTTAATCAGGTCACCGTTTGGCAGCCAGAAGCAGTATCAACGTTTTCATCAATTATAGATCCCAGGACCATCTGCTCCAAGTTATTATTTATTTAACATATACATTTACATAAATACACATATTTTCATTCAATTCAAATGATAAAGTGGGTCCAAACTTTTTACAGGATTTTACAGTGATTAACTGCATGAGTTGGAAGTAATGTTATCAGAACAATATAACAGGCACTCTCAGAGCAACAGTAAGATAACATATAGTATATTGTCTTTTTTCAGGGAACAGCATAAACAGTCAATGTTCAGTTATAAGGGTCCATATTGTGGAAAGAATCACTAATCCATCTTCACTTTAAGACAAGAAAATGAGTCATTCAGGAAAAAGAAGTTTAAATGTATCCCTAAGGGCAGCAGCAAAATCCACCAAACGATTAGAGCATCGTGGCTACCTCAGCATTATGCAGCGACATGCCATCTGGTTTGCACTTAACGGGGGCCAGCATTTGTATGTCAACAGGACAATGACCCCAAACGCGCCTCCAGGCTGCGTAAAGGCTATTTAGCCAAGAAACAGAGCTGCGTCACATGACCTGGCCTCAGCATTCACCCAACCTAATCCAGAATGAGGGGGTCGGAGACGAGTTGGACCGCAGACTGAAGGCAAAGCTGCTCAGCACCTCTGGGAACTCCTTCAAGACTGTTGGAAAAGCATTCCAGGTGACGACCTCATGAAGCTGATTTAAGGACTGCCAAGAGTGTAAACATCTGTTATCAAAAGGAAAAGGTGGCTACTTTGAAGAATCTAACCTATGAAACATATCCTGGTGTGTGGAGCATTTCTTTGTTTAGCTCATAATCCCATATGTGTTCTTTCATAGTTTGGATGTCTTCAATATTAATCTCCAATGTAAAAAAAATAAAAATCATTGAATGAGAAGGTGTGTCCAAACTTTTGACCGGTACTCTACATTTGAGAGTTAGAGGTTGCACTACTAGGCAAAGAAAATAAAAAGTCTCCAATACTTTAACTGTTGAGGGGAAAAACACTTTTATAAACACATTTCGCCAGCGTAGTTTCAGGCTGGGTTGGGACTCAACATGGTTCTTTACTGGTCACCTAAATTAATAAATAAAAAAGCGACTCCAATGGAGAGCAACCTAAAGTCAACAAAAACAACAACAAAAAACATTATTCAAGAAACACTAGGAATTGGCACGGGAGACACACCACGCACGAGGGGAAGGGACAATCTGGAGGACGTATGAGTGGGGTGATGAGGTAACTGGATGCAGGTGAGTAGGAGGAGTGCAATCAGGTGTAACACAGACAGACAGATAGGAAGAGACATGATGGACTAACGAGACGTACATGCACTTCCTAGTCTTGTCACATGGTCTCCTGTTGAAGGCTTTGTTGTACGTTACATTACAACAACATGCTGCACGAAGATGTTATGAATAAATGAGAGGGAAAGTTGTCGGTGTATTTTCTCTCGGAAAATGTGGAGAAGTGTGCTTCACTGGGTAAATATAGTATCACGTGACTGGAATAAAAATGTAACTGTTAAGATGAAGAGGTGAGTCATGCACTTTCATAATGATTGTCTGATCGGTGTGATTTGATTTTCAGACAGTTTTTCTCACATTTGTTCAAAATTACATTCATTCGTTGATACAGTCTTCAAAGGAGTATTACAAATGCAAAAACATTATTGCACATACAATCTGTATGCAATGACCACAGCTGTATCTGTGGTGATTCTTGTAATAAAGATTGTGGTACCAGAAACTATGATGACACTATCCAAACTAAGGGCCGCGGTGAGTGAGGAGTGAGTGAGGAGCTGCAGCAGAAGCGAGATGTAGCTGTGCACTCTGACTCAGTCGGCACGCAGGAACACATGCGACCAAAACACAAAACTTCTCCCCAGGATTACGCCTGGCGGAGATAATAATAATCCCTCCGGCAATAGACACAGTATATCCCTTCAAGGATTAATCAGCGCTCTTATTAAAAGTTACAGGTTTTGAAGAAATACCTGACATGAACCGATCGCATAATTCTGCCTTTTGACTATCAACCTTGAAATAATGCTGTCTGCTCACGGTGTCTGCTGCATGACCTCCTGATGAGATGGAAAGAGGGAGAGTGGTGGAATGAAAGGGGGAGGGAGAGTACATGCAGTTTTTATGAAGCGTTCATGTTGTTGATGGTTTTCCCCGTCTGCTCCTCACTCTAAAATAAGAGGGGAGTGGGCTAATGTATGGCACCATGTTGCCTCCCCAGAAATGCACATCAGCCTTTACCATCGTCAAAAGTGACTATGAGCCGTGTGTTGAACCGAGCAGCACCTAGAGCGTGTAGATAAAGCATGACATATATTTATATTTTACAAGCTTCCATCTCCCTCACTTGCTGTTCTTTCTCTCCATCTGTTTTCAGGTGGGAGGTGCCATGGACAGAGAGAGGGACAGTGTGCGAAAAATAATTTGAATGCGAAGACGCAACAGCAGCTATTGTGACAGAAAAGCCTTGAGCAGAGACAATATCCTCGAGAAGGAAACGGGGCGGCGGCAGCGGGAGGACGACATTTGACGGATAAAAAGGGGGAGCTCTGCAGCAGGATCCCCACCGCGCTGAACACAGGACTGCGTGACTGGTCTGTGATGGCAGAGGGAGGAGAGAGGAGAGAGGGGAGATAGGTGGGAGAGAAATAAGGGGGGAGGGGAGGCAATTCGGCGCAGTGCAAACTGACTGGATGAGTAGCAGCCGCGGCACAGGCAGCAGCATCAGCACCACTAGCTGTAGCATCCTTCCTTTTTGTGGCTGCTGGAGGCTGTTCTCTGTGGCCGCCTTGGCATCAGCATCACACACACACACACACACACACACACAGATACCGGGACGCAGACGTCTCCGCTGACTGCCTCATACGCACACATGTCGTGGCGGCCACCAGAGAGGAGGTAGTAAGTGACGGGGCTCGGGGGACCTAGGGACGCGAGCAGAGAAAACACCGGTGGCTGTGCAAAAGGGAAGAGGAGGGAGGGGAGGAGGGGAGGGGGATCCGGGCTGGAGAAACGCCGACTAGAGCAACAGCAGAAGCGGCAGCGGCAGCAGCAGCAGCGGCGGCACCATGGCGCAAGCCGCCAAGCAGCTCCGTAAGACCAAGGACCTCGCAGAGGCCGCCGCCCAGGAGCAGAGGGAGAAGGAGGAGGAGAAGATCAAGAAGAGGAACCGCTCCAGGGATCGCAGGCGCAAGGTACACGGCGTGTTGTCTCAGGAGACAGGGGAGGTGACGGTGATCTTACATCCATCTTCCCCCCTGTGCCTGCCTTTCTCGATCTCTCTCTCTCTCTCTCTCTCTCTCTCTCTCTCTCTGTCTCTCTCTTCATCTATTGTTCAAGATTGGTGAGGATGCAGATACACATGTGTAATTACCCAGTCGGTGTTGCAGCATCAGCTGGTATCTGTGTGTGTAGGCTAACCAGTGTGTGTAGCCTCGGGGGAAGGTTGATAGTGGTCGGCAGCAGTAGAGGCTGTTGGATAAATTGCAGGTAGTGTCAATGTCAGTTTTCTTTTCACAAGCATTTTTTTGGGGTGGGGATTCTTACATGGGTGCAGCGCATTCATATTAATGCGATGCAAGTTCAATGCACTGCACTGACATGCATTTGTATGCAGTCCCATCACCGTGAACAGTCTCTGCGTGCGCTCTTCTTCGACGAGTCTGTGTTGGTCTTAGATTCGGTGCCCCCCCCCCCCACCCCCACCCCTTATACCACAGGTTTGTTTTTTTCATTGGGGAAGATGTAAAATGGAGGGGGAAGATGGAGGTACACTCTAATAATAGACAACAATTTCAACCCATCTTTTTTTGGGTGGCACATTCTTCATCTATTGTCTCCCATTAATAATCCCAAGCTAATGATTTCCTATTTGTGGCTCCTAATATTTGTTGTGTGGAGGATTAACATTTAAATGTATTGTCACAAAATCATCCTGTGGGATTTCTTTCTCATCCACGCTTCCATCTCACTTCTGCCCCGCGCTCTCCCACTCGGGTTGTGCCTTTAGGTGTCGGTCTTATTGGGGCTTTGGCGCCCATGCTTAGCGTCCCTGAAATTATCATTATTTTATGGTACTCGTTAGATGAAAAATGAAGAGAATGGTATCTTTTGAAAGTAAATGTCTGAAAGAAAATATATTTTCTTCATGAAATCTGGAGACAGAGCTTGGAGGGTCATGGATTTCGTATTCTTTGTGTTTGGAAGTATGGCAATGATACTCTACTGTGGCACCTGTTAAAGTGAAGAAGGTGGTGGCTTTATTTTACTGAATGTTTAATTGCTATCAAACAAAGTGGAAAAAAGAAAAGACGAAACTCCACGGATTACTTTGTTGATATTGGTATCCCTCTTAGCATACTTGTATTGGTATTGTCTTTTTTTTTTAGATGAACATGAATTGAAATTGTCATTTTTCTGTCTGTTTTGTATCATTGTTAAGTAATAGTTTTTTATTTTGTTAGCACAGGTTTGTGAACCCCGAGTGGTGTTGGGGGCCGCGGTGCACCGACCAGGAATCGGGGGAACAGTGCTATATTTAAATCAAGGAAGCTCGGCTCTAGTCTTGTGAACTTAATGTTAAAATTGCCTTATCATGAGGAATGGACGGATGGCATGATTTACTATCAATTCCTGAGATATGGTCTTCGCAAATGACGACATCATGGGCGGTTGCCATGGAGATGCTGTGTTGAGCAGAGAGATGTGCTGCTGTACTATATTGCTTTTTTAATTGTTGGTTGTATTCACCCATTGAGGCTAGCAAGCAAGATGGTGACCGGACGGATCAGGGTTACAAATATTAATGCTATTTTCATCTTCAGTTATACCAACTGATTGATATTCATTTCAAGGCGGCTTTGTTACTGCACGCAGCTTGTTTGCTTCACTGATCTTTACGCTGTTAATGTTCCTCCCAAGGTTAATTTTACCGTCCAAAAGTCAATCACAGTTTCATTAATGGTGATTTCATTCTTAACAACTCACCATCTCAAATGGCTTATTTTTCTTTGGCCTTACTTTAGTGTAAAATATGCACCTGTATAGCAACAGCTTCCCCTGTGCCCTTTGGTGCGTGTACGTGGCCAAAACAAATTAGCTCCCGCTACATGCAGTACTGTACGGTTCTCATTTGACTTTCAAGCATAAATCAGTAAAAACATGCATCCGTCTGTGTCATTATTAATATTATGTATTATGTAGACTCTCGGTGTTAAATGGCTGTATTTTTTTATCTTTTGATTCCACAGCTTAAGGCACAGATGAGGAAGAGTTTGTTGGAAAAACAGACCCATCTTTGCTTCACTGCTTCTGCCTTAGCGGCCCATCTCCCTCGCTCTCACCCCAATCATCAACCTTTCCACTTTATGCCTCCGTTCTCTGCGTATCACTCTCAGAATTCGGAAAAGTTGATTGTTGCTGTGCTCCCAGAAACGTGTGAGGAAGTGAGTTACAGAGGTGGAGAGGCAGAGATGAGGCCCAGGCAGGTCTTAATGTTCTGGGGACATTAATTGTCTCCATTCGATGTAAATCACACTCGGCAGCATGGCATCGCTCTTTCCCGGTTCTCCTCCCTTGGCACAAAGGTCATTCAGTGAAGTGCCAACAGAGATCCCATCATATCTTTGGATGGACTGTGTAATGCAGTTAGGGGAACTGAAAAGAAAGGGCAGTGGCAATCTGCTAACACCGCCGGTTAAGGTTTGGAGCCGATCAACCACCTTTGTCATCTACTTTATCTTCCTAATGGTGGGTACATTTGTGCGAAAATATAATACTTACCTAAACGTAACCTAAACCTCATTTCCTTATCAGAACAAAAAAAAAGTATGATTTGCTCATTACCGAATCAAGGCCTTCGTAATGCATTGTGCCATGTGTGGAATCCGTCAAACTGTGGCGGTCAATGCTTTGCTGCATTGACGGTAGGTGTCACTGGCTGCAGCGCGACCACTATAGGTCACTTTCTGACTACACATTATTGATCACTAGTGTACGTTTACTAGTCACTAGTAACATCAGTCCAATGAATGCCGCTGATTTATCGTTCTATGTATTGCCGTTGGGTATCTGCTGGCAGCGGGGGCGATGTGACGTATCGGTTTAATTTACAAAAGTACAAGTTAATTCATCCACAGACGATTAATACGAGATGGACTGCAGAATGCCACCTGTCGGCCAGAGAGAAGAAGTATGACTCTCATAGTGGTTGTGACTGCAGAAAGATGCAACTGGGTGGAACGATGTGAAGCTTCTCTCCTCACAAATGATATCTGGCTGAACACGGACCCCGAGCACTTTAACCAGACCCTGTTATCCCTGTTATCAAGTCACTCATTAATAAGTGGTAGCTGATAGAATCTACCGCAGGCAGCATTCGTCATTTTAAATGGTGAAAGTGATGTCCAACTCCTTATAAAAGGGAGAAGGTGATTCCTTTAATGTTTCATCTACTACGAATTAACCTTCATTTAAAGTTTGCCCTTCATAAATGCTGGTGAAAATTTGCTCTTACGAATCGCAGCAACGGGCTTGTAAATTTGATTTGCATGCTGCAATGCTTTTTACAGGTCTGTGGTCTGTGAATAAAACTATTGATAACATCTAATGGAATGGAATAATGTGAACGACATACAGGAAAAGGCTCGGTCATCCTCCAAGTTTCACTTGTCATTGTTTGCGTTCACTCCTTGTTCTCTGTAGCCGATGGGATAGACTGATCTGGGACATGAAACCTTGTATTGAAGTGCCTCAGAATGAGGCTCCTTTGCTCCGTGCATTTTGCTGTTTCCTGCAGGCCTGCACTTATTACAATGGATCCAAAGATCTGCTAATGGACAGTGTGTGCTTTTTGTGATCGTGCTTGTGGTCACAACACGTGTTTTTGTGCGTGCACATGCGGTTTGTATGAGTGCAATTGCTTGGCTTCAGGGTATCTCATTCCACTTTTATGTAACCTCATGGATCCCAAACCCTAATTAGCCGAAACCCTCCACTGTCTTACTCTCTCTTCTTTGCTTCTCTGGCAACTTTTGTCCCCACACAACACAACACATGGGACAAGAGGGCAAGCATTTTGATTAATGCCAAACTTATGAAATAACAGGTATCACCTGCATGCATATATGATTCCAAATATGTTGGAGACAAGGGGAAAACAATCTTCTGTTATTAAATCTTTGGGTGCAAAGTAAAAGAACATCTAGATAGTTTGTGTTATTGCCATCGGTTTATGTGCTTTTTGGTACCACAGGACCACGGCAGTAAAATACTTGTATCACCTTCTGCTCAGCGGCTATCTTTAACAGCTTGAACTCCTTTTCTTCTTAAACTAGGTATCCAAATATTGCTGTTGGTTGCAAGTCTACTGTGTTTCAATACGGTGCTGTAGGCTGTCCAAGATTCAAAGAAAGCTGTGGTATGAAAAGAATACTTTGATTCCCTTTTTCAGTGGTTAGGGAGAAGAATTGAAGTATCTTTATTCGCTCCCACGAGAGTGAGGGTTCTTAAGGACGTGTCCTAGAATCCAAGAGCCTAATGTGTCAGATATGTCGGTCTTTTTGGAAGACGGCCCTCCTGTGCGTGTGTTTTCGTGCGTGTAGACGTGCATGAGTCTGTTTTTGTGTACTCATTCATTCTCTTTATAAATGTCCCGGTCAATAGAATACACTCTACACATGTTTTTTGGGGGCAGACAACAGCATTAGGTAACATAATAGTTTGGGGCAAGTCCATCTCCATCCCCTCGGAGGAAAAAGCAGGGGGAGGTTGAGCCAAGGTCAAGCAGAGAAGAGCAGCACTCACACGCAGACTATATTTACCTGCCAGCCCATAAGGATTACGCTGTCTATTGGAGTTACCCGTCTATGTGCACACCACTGCTGTGCACTCGCTGAGCACCTGCTCATACTGTATCCGATGTCTCCCCGGAGCCGTACCTGCTCAAACAACGCGGGAAGATTCCAGAATAGAAGCACGGTGGCCGATATTTATCAGGCCTCTCTGAGGGCTTATCTAGGACTCGACTCTGACACACATTTTGATCTGGAGATCAAAGTAGTTTTAGATCCTGGACCTTTGATAGATATACAAGTCGTTTTTTGTTTTTTTGGCTGCTTCTACTTGCAGATCTGGTACATTTGTGGTCATTGTGTATGTACAAAGAAATCTAATCTTATCTCGTTGAATCCTGACT